CTGACACCAGCTTTCAGCAGCAAATTGCCAGCTTAAAAGAGGAACGCAAACTCTAAATCAAAGAGAGACCAAAAAGGAAACAGTATTAAAAGGAGAATGAATCTACCAGCCGCCAAAATGAACCCTGTGTGAATTAGCGGAATTGGACAGTGGGAAGAACATTAAGTATCTCCAAACAGACCTGATTCGGTTACAAAGATATCACAAAGTTAGCAGCCATTGTTTTCCCCATCTGTGCATGCTGCATGTCAGGAGGAAGACAAGGCTTACAAGCGAGATCAAAATCAGAGAATTGAGAATGCCTTTTGTATCATCTAGGAGGAACATAGACAAGCTGGTCCTTTAATAAGCTTCAGGAATGCAGCTAAACCCAGAGAGAAGAATGGGATTTGTTTAGGAAGGGAAAGAAAGGAATGGGATAGGGGTACCCTTTTCTCTCTCTCCCTCCCTCCCTCTCTCCTCTCTCCCCTGGGTGGATAAGAAATGCACTCCCACTCTTTCACGTTCTGCCCCACACCTTAAATCAAGAGAGATCAAGAAGAATTCTCACTAACTGATTTAAAAGAAAAAGAAAAAAACCTAAAACCAAGAAAAACAACCAACCTGTCTCTGAAATCTATACACACAAGGAGAGAGACAGAGAGAAACTTGATCACTCATCAAGGAGAGAAGGCTGGTTGCCCTAGCCATAAGATCACAGCCCTACACTGTACTTGATAAAGGCCAGGATGGGGAGAGAGGATGGCCTTTCACAACCTCCATTACCAGATTCCTACAACAATTGGCTCCTTGGTGGAAATCGACTCTAAAAAAAAATATCATGGAAGAAATTTTCCCCACATCTGCCAGGAAGCTAAGCCAGACCACCGGGTGATTCCAGGGGACACTTCCTACATAGAACCTCCTAGCTAGGGATGAGTTTTTCTACCAATTCTCCCATGACTCCTTGATAGTAAGTGGCTTAGAAGCCTGCCCATTTCAGTCACTTGGACTGAAACCTCACCTATGGAAGACAGAGCCCATGGGAAGGAAGCCCATTAGATTCTAATGAAAAGTCCTTCTTTGACATTTATCAGACTTTCGTTTTAGAGGGTGTTGATGAGAGAGCAGTGGCACAAATATATCCATATGTCAATGAAAAAGGCAGCAGAGCCTCTCGTGCATCTCTTGTCTCTTTGCAAAAGATCACACCATGCAACAATGTCCCCTCCCCAACCCCAATATGCTAGGAAAGGGGTATCACAGCTCCACCACCTCAGGCGGAACTTTCTCTCTTCTCCATTCAGCTGTCATTCATTAAAATAAATACATTCATTACTGAACTAAAATGTAGTTAATCCGGCTTTTCTACTTCCAAAGGCCTCTAACTGATGGTAAGCGTCTGCAGAGGAATCAACCCTATGAGATCCAGTTTATTTAGAATCAGAGTGGAAAGGATATTGGATGTTAATATTGCAAAGTGGGATGTGGTAGATTTTTTTTATTTATTGGATTTATATATTAGACTTATATGCCATCTTTATTTTGCACAGGTCAGGAAGATATATATGCGATGCTCCTGCGCAGTCTCTTGGTTTTTAAGTCCTGCACCTTAACCTTTATCCTGAATTGGCTTTCTGCCACTAGATAGTATCATGATCACAGGTGAGTAGCACATAGATGGTCTTCCATAGATGCCATTCCCAATGGCCAGAGTTTATAGGCTTTGTAGTGGAGCAACAACTCTGGAGGGCCAAGTATTCCCCATTAATAATTAACTGATGAAGCTGGATTCTAATTCCTGATCAGACCAACCAGCAAATCCAATGGTTAAGCTAATGGGAGCTGCGGTCCGAGAACATCTGAGGAATGACAGGTTGCCCACCATTTCTGACAGGCGCAGTTTGTATGATAAATGGGCACATCCCAAATGGGCTGGAGTGATGAAGCTAAGGCAGATCTCTCTGCCAGCATATCCCAAAAATGCTGACACAATACTCACGGGTTAGGGCCTTTATCACCCACTAGAAGTCAGCTGCACCTGAGCTCTGTTGCACACTCAATCACACACCTATATAAATAATCTTTTACAAATGGATTCTATCCTATGGAGACATCACCAACAAGGGTGCACATGGGTTATCATTGCAGCACAATTCTATGAACCAACACGTTGGGGGGGGGGAGGCATTTGTGTGCATACCCAACTGCACAGAGATATATTCTCTATACAGATATATCAAATAATAATAATGTAACACCATACAATATTAAGGAACTAAAGACCTATCTAATTTAACAACAATTCTTGGATGTAAGCAGACAAATTATATTATCATCCTCTAACTCCACCTCCTGTAAGTTGCAGAGGCAACCATTGTAGCATTAACAATAACGACAACTACAATACCCTAACAGTAAATACTGATGTTCAATACCTTATAGAAAAGAAGAAGAAAAAATGAGGAGGAGGATGACTTTTGGGGCAATTAAGTCCCTCCCCTAGCTTAGTGGGGCTCTTTCCTGAACCGAAATCGAGGAACAGTAAGTGGGATCGGGACATACAATCAGTAAACACACACACACACGCACGAAAATGATTGGAAATATCGTTTTCATTTCTAACTTTCTGTAAAAGGAAGCATTTTAAGGCGGTTGCCAATCCCAGCAAGCTCCTGCTATAAAAAACGGGCCTCCACCATGGAAGCGTGGAACATTTTTCTTTTCTTTCGGTTTCTTTGGACCGGCGGGTCGGGCACGCAACCTAACAGAAGCCTCCGAGATCCTGGGGCCGCTCCGTCAGACAAGTTCAGCGGCCCAACCGAAGCACTTGCTGCTCAGCTCAGTCCCACCGACCTTCATCGGTTTCCATCCCACGTCAGGAAATTCTCCAGGACGCAATCGGGGCTTTTCCAAAGGCTCGAGAAGCCGAGGCCGCGGCAGTTCCACTCGGTCTCTGCCCCTAAACGCTCGGGTTCCAGTGAAAGAGAGGGACTGGCGTCCCCAGATCCCGTCGGGAAGCTGGTGGCGGACAAAGTCACCAAGGCCTTTTACTCGCTGTGGGTTGGGAAGGCTGAACTTCTTTCCAGGGTGCAGAGATACACAGGCCCGCGCGCGGGACCCCAACCTTTGGACACGATCTGTCTTTTGGACGGGTGTCGATTCCCCGAGCGAGATATTAATTTGTTGTGTGTGTGTTTTTTCCCCCATTTATTCATTTCCCCTCTCCCCACCCCCGACCCAATTTAGGAAGGAAGCCCCGAGCCCAACTCGAAGGTTTCCAAAGAAAAGAGAAGGGTTTCTACACCTCTGTCCTTTCCGCCCTGGGAGAATAAACCAATCTCTTCCCCGGGCCCTGCAATAGGTCTTGGGGCATGTTTGGGATGAGGCTGGGGACGGAGCTGGAGAGAAGAAGCCAAATCAGGCGCCATCTTAAACCAGCTTTTTCCCCATTTAGAGCGACCTTCCACAAGGTCCTTCTGGGCCTGATCGCCCGCTTTGCATTCATCTTTCTCTCTGTCTTCGTGCAGGGGGGGTGGGGTGATTTAAACTCGTGTTTATTCAGTGGAGGGCAAAAGCGGAGTTTCATCCAATTCCAAAAACCCGGCGTTCCTAACAATTGTATGGATGTTTCATACCACTATATTACAACAACCCAGGGGCTCTACGATTAAGTTAAACCTTGCTAGTTAAACCTAACAGTGGAAGCATGTAGCCAGGCATAGTTGAGAGTTTAGCCCCTGAACTCGGTATTGCTTGTAGATACAGGAGTGCACCGGTCAACCTTTGCATTATCTGGTCACCAGATCAAATATGTATCAGGCAGGGAGGGGTGAGTGGAAAGAGTGTGGCACGTTTAAGCTTTATTAGATCACATTGGTTTAATAGATCACATTTAGTAGACATTTTCTTTTTTTTAAAAAATTACCCTTTAAAGACAAAACAAACCTAGTGGACACTGCTTTAAATCTCAAGAATACAACCCAGTCACCTTTAAAGGCCGCCTGGTGTTTTAATTTCTGACTGAATCCTTTGGTCTTTAATCCGAACATAGTAAAACAACTGTAGAACGAAAGATTTCTTATTGCTCCTGATTTACAGAGCAACCTTCTTCTATGCTGGAAAGGGAACCTGGTCAGCTCTTGTTCTCCACTCCTCTCTTTCATGCCACTGGCCACTTCTACTTTTGGAGACCAACTCTAGCAGCCAACTCTAGAAACCTGCTGAGTCTCCTTCATCAACCTCAGAGCCTAAAATACCCCCTGCCTTCAGCTTCTTCCTTATGCCCAGGAACAGCTTCTGTCCTCAACCCAGCAAGATGCCAGGTGACTCTAGTTTCCTCTTAAGTGCAAAGGCTGGTGGGGTGGGTGTAACCTAGACAATGCCTAGCTCTCTGCAGAATTAAAGGGACTAAGTGGGTGATCTGACAGTTTGGAGGGGAGCTTTCGGACAGGTTCCTTTTGAAAGATGTCCCTGGCCGGGCTGAGAAAATGTACCAAAAGCAAAAGAGCATCCTTATATAGGCACTCATGGTTTAAGTATGATCCTTCGTGATGCCAGAATATTTCTGCCTTTTTCACTAGTGTGCAGTGGTCGGTGGGGTGTCTTTCCTTGGAGTTTTTCAGTTGGGAGGGGCTGATCTAGACATATCACAATAGGAGTCTTTTGTTAGGAGGCATGCAGTTATTTATTTTCAATTAATGCACACATTTCATTCCAAGGTCACTCATTTCTCTTATGTGTTCTGTGCTATATAGAAGGATTCAAACTGTGGCTATGCTGTGCCAAATCCTCCTTGTATTCCCGGAGTCCCAAGTCGGAGGGTGTGAACAAAGCCTATCTAAAAACCAGACATCTGGGATAATCAGATTAATCTTCTTTAGGATATCAGTCTCAAATAATCAAACAGTAACCAATTTCTCCTTATAGGTGGGTCCCAAGGCCAGACTTTTCTGAAGAGAAATCTGGAGGGAAAGGAGAAGAGGGGAATCATTCTTACACCCAAGTAGGAGTGAACAAATTTTGCAGCTTTAAATTCATGGCATTCTTTTAACATCTATGTATGATGTAATTCACAGCTATAGAGGGAGAATAAAGGATGCACCCCAGATTTGAATGCTACAAGGGGCTGTAAACCACGCTCTTCCAGATACTGTACATCTACAGGAAAAAAACCAAACCTGATAAACAACAAAAGTAGGGAGCCTCTCTGCCCTAAAAGGCTCAAATGGCCACATTTTCCTACTAAATCATTCTCCTTGGTGCCAGCCAAATCGGCTCTGACTTGTTTGGAGCAATATGTGCTTCAAAAGGCTGGCTCTAATTTACAGGGGAAGGAAAGTTTCTTGTCTGAAATCTGCATCCTGGAGCACCAAAAAGTGGTTTGTCCCAGGAAAACTGATTTTCTACTAAAAGATTCAGAAGGGACTGTCTTAGAAGTGTGACTGAGATGGAGGAGGTTTTCACCGGTACCTGGACTGCAAAAAGGGCTGTGAAAATGTCACCCTGCCTCACTGCCTAACCATTTACAAATAAATGCATTAGTAATTTTAGCCAATATCCCAAACCAGGAGGAGGATTACTGGCATCCCTCCCTGAGTAGCAAAGTTCTTCTATACTTGTGAACCTTTACACAACAATCACATTAACCTGCTGCTCCAAAGAACAAGTCACTCCAAGATGATGTCAATAACCAACTTTTCAAAGCAACCCTCCTCCTCCTTTGTTTTGCAGTCCAAATTTGGGGTTGTGACCCAGCTGGGAATGGAGTAAGTAAACAGGTTTTCACGGGGTTCCTTTAAATATTGCACATAGAATCAAGACGTGTGTGTGTGTGTGTGTGTGTGTGTTAGGGTAATGAAAAAGTGAAGGCCTTTGCTTTCTTGTCCTTGCTCCTCCTCTTTCTTGGGCTTCTATATCACTTCTCTCTCTTGTGTCTTGTTCTAGTTCCTTTTCCTCTTAACTATTGCTCCTCTTGACTTTTTGTTTCCAACTCTTCTTTATTATCCAATTCTTCCTCTTTTTATCGTTCATAAAATTCCTGGGCTTTATCTATTGTATTTATCCTTATTTTTCTTATCCTGCCATGTTATTAATATACCTTCAGGTACCAGCCAGCAGAACATTATTTTACTTTTTATTAATTGTGTTGTGAGGAACTGGTAATCCCTTTTTTTAAAATCAAGACGTACGTGTGTGTGTGTGTGTGTGTGTGTGTGTGTGTGTGTGTGTGTGTGTGTGTGTGTGTATTAGGGTTATGAAAAAGTGAAGGCTCTGAAAAAAGACCCAGACCCGTTGATGGCATATATGACACTTGGAGGGGGGGGCACTTGCAGCATGACAAGTCTTTTTATGGGTTCAGGAGATGGTGGTGAAAGAACCATGGTTTGTTGGGATGCCTTATGGGTCAAGGCCTGGTTTGTTGAAAAACTCAGGGCAACAGCCTTGCAAGACTCCTCCATCTTTATTTTTATTTTATTTTGCAAGGCCCGGAAGGAAGCCTTGGTAGAAGGAACCAAGGCCCCTTTCTTTAAGCAAGGATCAGGAGCACTCTCCCTTTTCACTCACACGCACGCTCACAATATACAATACATACCCGCACAGGAGTGTGCTCAGTGCAGGGTTTATCTTCCTATTTTGTCGTCCTGCTCTTTACTGCCTCAGCACTCTGTAGATTTTCTGGGAAGCTGAGCCCTATTTTAATGTTAGGCAGACAGGGAAAAGGCAGAGAAGGTCCCCCGTCTAGGCTTCACCTACATAGATGGGTAAAAGACCAAGCCATTGAGAGACAAAAGGGAAGGGCTATTGGAGTTAGGGAACCCTTGCTCAGATGGTGGGCGATGGAGGTGATCAGTGCCAGCCTACAAGATAAGGGGGAAAGAAAGCCTGCTTAGGAACAGACAGGGAAAAGGAGCGGAAAAAATAAAATGTGAACTGCACATTGCCCCATCATTGAGGTAATATTTGGCTGTTAGTGACCAGTGGAGAAGGAATCCCATATTTTTCATTTTTGGCTGCTGTGGCTCATGAGGTCTCGAATCCAGCATTTTATCCATCACTCTTTATCCCTCTTCTTAATCTACATTGATCTTACCTCCAAAATCAACGGGCCCATCTTATGGCTGATCTTGGTTGGGTCAAGAGTTTTGCCAGCTTTTAAGCAACTGCAACAAGCCTGTGGCCTTTGGTAGGACTCCTACCAACCAAGATGCTTTTCAGAGCTGTCCACCACAGAACAAAAGGCATTGTGCCTTGCCTTCCAAACTCCCTTATGTAAGGAGATCCAGCATCATCCCTCTTTCCCTCCCTTCCCCACCCCCAGCTACAATCCAAAATCAGAATGTTCCATCAAATGGGAAGCAGGAACTGACTCACCCACACCAATTAAGCACCTCTGAAGCCTTCTAAGCCAGACAAAGGTGTGTTGACTTCCCTTCCTAGAAAAGGAGAGTTGTTGGCTAAGAGAGTGGCAGCCAGCTCCAGGACAAACAATAGCTCCACTTTAGCCTTCCTGGGAAACACCTGCAGGTCAAGAAAAGATAAAATTCTCGGAAGAGGCAGAAGGCCAGCTATAAAATCAAGGAAGGACCAAGACCAACATTCAGGGAAGAGGCGGGATTATCAACTCAACCCAGTCAGGCAGAGTAATAGTGATCCTTGGTATTCTCCCATCAGACTATGACTAGATGATCTTTGTGATGATGACTCTTATTACTACTGTACTGCTGCTACTACCAGGGCATTGTTTGGTATCCTCCATATAGCTCATCAGCTCTAGAAGACCTTGGTTAGTGACTCTATGGGGTGGTGGGAGAGACTTGTAGAAATCCAGGTGACTGAAAGCTTCAGGTTATCCATACTCATCCTGGTGACCTGCAGCCATGGTGGACTTTAAGGACTTATAATTCTCAAGAAACCCACCTTTGGGCTGGAAGTCATAAAAGCGTTCTGCAACATATATTTGGAAGGGTTGAGGCTGAAGAAGCAGTTCTATAGATCGTAGGAAATGTGAGCTAGAAAAAGATGCATTCACATTCAGGGGATTCTCGCCCTTTCCCTCCTCCAGGTTGCCTTGTTGCTGCCTGTGGCAGGAGCGAGAGAAAGAAAAAAAAACTCACACTGTTCATAATTTACAGGCTTATAACATTTATGAACAAGTGTCCAGAGTGCAGTGAGAAATAAATGATTCCTTTTCTCCGGTGATCCTGGGACTTGAGATCACCCAATAAAATGGTTCCATGGTAGTTTCAGAAAATTATGAGTCACATGTGGGGGGTTATGATTTACTTTAGCGAACTGAGAGAGGGCCACTAGTTTAGAGGAGCATCGAAAAGGAGGAGCTAAATTCATGGAGATATTTAGCAGGAGCTATTGACCTATTGCATTTCCATGTTCAGAAGTTGTCTTATCCCAGAGTGTGTGAGGCATGCTTGGAATGGAAGCCAAACAACATATTTCAATCCCAAACATCACTTTCCTGTTAGCCAGGAGTATATAGTTGGCTTGAGAATTGAAGGTGCCTTTGTCTGAGTTAGATTTGGGTTAGATGGCGGTGGAAGGATGTCATTGCACTGGCTCAACCTCTCAAGAGGAAGAGTTTTGTTGTTTCCTCTGATCCACTTGGGATCAAATCTTGCATTGCAGGGTGTGCCCCAATTTTTACTTTACTGAGGGCTGAGAATTGGGTGTATAGAACACCCCATTGCAGTCTAGTAGTCTTCTCTCTCTAACTTTTCTGTGAGTTAAATCATAAGTCTCTTTATCCCCGGTTCATTTTTTTTAAAAAAAAGAGAGAGAGGTTATTATTGTGCCTGTAAGAATTTGACTGTCAAACAGGAACTGTTCCTTTTCTCCTTTTCTCCTTTTATTTTTTACTTTAGGTACATTAATACCCCTCCTATAGCAAATAAATAAGAAAGGAGAAACTGAAAACTTATCCTGTCATTGTAAATAGTAATAATAGCAACAATAAAAAAAACTCTGTGTGTATTTACATACCCAGTTCCATATGTTACAGAAATAGGTATGTATCTGGCTATGTATGAATGCATGTAAAAGCAGATGCAGGAGCTTTATAGAGGAAATATTACTCTCCCTTTTGGTTACAGCTGCATTTGGCTTGCTAATATTGCCCTGATTCTTTCTTTATAGAACAGAAGCGGTAGTTTTCCATCCAAAAAAGTAATATACGTGTGTGTGTGTGTGTATATATATAAATAAATAAATAAACAAACACACACACACACACACAAAACACACACATGCATATGTACAGAAGTCATAAAACAACAAAGGCCAACAATTTTGTCAGAAATCAGTGCCATCACCATAAAAGCTATTTATTGGCTGTTTGCTAGGAAATACTACTCTTTCAGTAAAGTCCCAAAATGTTTGGTTTGGTACCTTGCCCATCAAAATAAATCAAGGCGACAGATTAGGAAGTACATAAAACTATATCTCTAGATAATGATATACGAGACCACAATAAATATAAGTTACATGTTGAAGCTGCTGGCAGTTATGGTTGGAAACCCGTAACTCATTCATTTAACCCTGGCGGAATGTTTGTCTTTTAATTACAATTAAACAGCGCACTTGAACATTTTTCCTCCCCCCCCCAAACTGTACGAGGAGAAAGAAACAGGAGGGGGAAGGGAGAGATAACTAGCAAAGCAAAGAGTCTAGAGCAGGGACTGTAGAGGGGAGTTATCAAACTTCTGGGACGTTTATTTGCTTAAGAAGCTAAACTATGTAGAATACCAGGGATGATTTAAAAAAGGGGGGGGGTATTGTCTTTCTGGACAAGAAGTTTCTTTAAGCCCTCTCCATCGCCTCCAAGGAAAAAAGAAGGGGTCTCCCATGGCCTGCTTTCCCAGGATGGAGGTCCCCATTTGGCTTCCCTCTCAAGCCTCTTGTGCCCTGTGGAGACCTGATCAAGAAAATGAAGGGAGATGACTTGGAAAAGTTTTTCCACGTAGCCTGGGCACTCGGAGGCTGTCGAAGAATGCACTGAGTTCCTGACGTTCCTAAAACACTCCAGAAATATTTCTACAGGGCTCCTGCTTTTTAACTCCACCCCCGCCCCATCCCTGGGGAAAAAAAAAAGGAAATAAAGGAAATGGGGGGGGGGGAAGAAGTACTGAACAACCTGAGCTACCTACCAGGAGACAGGAAGGAGAGTCTTGGGTGCTGTGGTCACGCCTGCCCAGGTAAGAAAAGCGAAAGCTTCGGGTGCAGATCCTGCCACAGTAGGAAGAAAACCTCGCCAACACAACGGAGCTGGAGGCCCACAAGTACAGCCATCAAGCGAACCGCTGGCCTGCAAGGGTTCCCTCATTTGGCAGCCAATGGCCAGAAGCTTCCAATCCGGACTGTTCAGGAAGGTCTCCCCCTGCCCGGCTTCGATTACCAGAGGGAAGCTTGGACCAGCTCAGAAAAACCGGCTTCCCTGATCTGGTTGCCTTCGTCCAAAAGAGGAACTGCCTCTTGCACGCAGCAGAAACCCCAAAGCGTCTTGGCGCACCTTAACCGATTTATATATATATATTTGCTTTGTTTTTCTTTCCTTTTCTGAGTAAAACCTACGTATGAAAGATGAAGCTGCTTATCTGGTGAAGTCGCTCCCCCTCCCCACCAAAATAAATAAATAAATAAATAAATAGGCAAGCGACTTACTTGACGTTGGAAACTTTGTTCTCGCCTGGACTAGCCCGCTATAGGAACCCTTTCAAGTTACGGGAAGGAGGGGAAACAAAGTAGGCAAGGCTTGGCCGAGACTTCACCCTGCCTGCTTTTCTCTGGAGTTATTTTGGTGACAGCACCGACCGATAAAGCGCATTGAATCTGCCCGAAGCCCAACTCTCCCCGCTTGCCTCCCCTCCCCTCCCCTCCCAGCCACCCACCCACCTACCCGGCTCTATTACGATGGAAAATTTCTTTACAAAGAGCCGAAACAGGGGCCATGCCTTTAAGTTTGTCTAAGGCGCGTTGAGAGGTACACGTTGAGAGACTTCACTCAGGTCACGGGGGAGGCTCAGAGGTCAGCCTGAGCCGTTAAGAATAAAACTGCTGGCCTAGAAAAGTTGTCCTCTGAATGAACCCACTTTTTTCCCCCTTTTCCCCCCTCGAACTTCAATGAAGTACCTTTCAGGCTCTCAACATGGAAGCTGAGAAAGAAGAGAGAAAGAGGGAAGCGGGAGGTGGGAAAAATGGTGGGATGGAGGTTTGGATCTCTTAACATTCTCTTTTCTTTTTACTTTTCTTTTCTCTTCTCTGCCCCCTCCCCCAAACTCCACACCTCTTCTCAGCTTGCCTTTATGATCATAATCTATGTTTGGGAGGGAGGGGAGAAATTATGTCATGGCCATGTCTAAATTAGATTATTAACAATAAATATTAACAAACTAAAAGACTCTGATTGCAGAAGGGCAGATTACAGAAGATGAAAGAGTGAAAGCGAACTTCAGGGGGGAAATAAATAATCCAGGAGAGGCTGGGGGAAGGGATAGAGCACTATAAATATGATACAGCCACATATTTAAATAAGAGGTTTACTGGAAGGTTTTAAAAAAATGAATATGCAGACTATAGAGTTGCAAATGTGATCGATGATCCCCCTTGTTTCCCCCACCCCCCCACCCCTGGCTTCCTAGGCAGACACAGAGAATGCTCCCAATACAAAGTCCCTCCACATTCAGAAACTGATCTTGGTCACAAGGTATCAAAGTGTGTTGTGTATAAGTGTGTGAGAAAGAAGAATGTTAAAACAAACCATCTAGTGCAATACAGGCACATCCATATCAGAGTCAGAACACTTATTAGTTTAAGTATGGAATATCAATGCAGGTATGTGTGAGAGTGTCAGTGTTGCTTTTTTTTTTTGCAAAACGATGACCTTTCATTTTTACCATGAAAAACTATTTAGAACTTTGGAATTCTTTTTAATCCCTTTATTTTTATCTCTTATTTCACAGAGGGCCTATGTATGAAAAGTGTGTTTACGTTTATAAAACCTTTGGGAAAAACTGAGTGTGCTTGTCTTCTTACAGCAAGATACCAAAAATAGTATATTTGAATAAATGATTCTTTTTTTTTAAACTGGGAATCTGATAAACATACACACTCGATATATTAAATATGTAGCTGAAGTCATGCACAGTAAATCTCGGCTGTGTTCAATAGCATTTCCTCAAAAGTTAGTCTGCACAGGACTGCAGTCTGAATGCTTATCTATTTTCCCCTCTTGATCTATAAAATAAGGTGGACAAACAGGCCTGATCGTGTGATAAGGAAACACTTTAATTTATAATTCCCATACACTTAACACATAAGTCTGTATTCTTTACTGGGAATAGTAAAAATGATGCCATAGGTTTTCACCTGGCTGCTCTGTCAATCATCTCTTCAACATACATCAGATGGATTGAACAAGTAACAGGCTTGAACTGTCATCCTCTTCAGCTGGACCTCAAGTTTCTTTGTGAAGTGGTTTGTAAACGAATTTGGATGATTACTATTAGGTT